CTAGGGAAACACATAGACTAGCAAGATACCATAAACACTGAATTCAGTGAAAGATCCTGTCTCAATAAATAAGGTGGAGACAACCTAGAAAGATAAGCATTCCTAAACTCTGCACACTACACACACACACACACACACACACACACACACACACACATACACACAGGTGCATGTGCACCCTACAAACACACAAGCACATATACTCTGCTGCACACACACACCACATGCATGTGCACACCCACACATGTAAGCATGCCTACACTCTGCACCACATGCACATGCATGTGTGCGCACACGTGTGCGCACGCGTGTGCGCAAACACACACATGCCATCTGTATTCACTGCAGCTGAGTATCTTAGTTCACCTTGGCCCCCAAGTCTTCTTTTTTTCTTTTTTGTTTTTGGTTTTTCGAGACAGGGTTTCTCTGTGTAGCTTTGCGCCTTTCCTGGAACTCACTCTGTAGCCCAGACTGGCCTCAAACTCACAGAGATCCACCTGACTCTGCCTCCCGAGTGCTGGGATTAAAGGCGTGCACCACCAACGCCCAGCAAGCCCCCGAGTCTTGATACTGTCATAAAGAAACATTCTATTGGATTATATACAGTGTAGAGGAAAAAGCTTAAGTAATATAGATAACAGTTCTTGTTTTATCCACATGAAGTTTACAGGACAAGAAATGTGAAGAAATAATCAAACATATTTTCCACATCTGGTCAGCTTCAAATCACATTGTAATAGGTGAGTACTTGTGTTTTTAAATACTTAAAATTATAGTCATTCCAATGTTAAAAATTTTAGTATCAAAACATTCTCTTCTTTCTAACAATGTTTTCATGTGACTATTCCTCACTGTCCTCTTACTGCAATAAAAATCACTAAATCTGAGTTCATTAAGACTGAAATACAAAGCCAGGCACAGTGGCGTGTGCCTTTAATCCCGGCGCTCAGGACACAGAGGCAGACAGAGCTCTGAGTTTGAGGCCAGCCTGGTCTACAGTGCGAGTTCCAGGGCAGCCAGGGCTACACAGAGAAGCCCTGTCTCAAAAACAAAACAAACGAAAGACTGAAGTACGGAGATTTTAAATGTAAACACTTTGATCTACCACTCACGGGAAGCTGACATACCAGGAGATGGAATAACTATAGCTAGACATGATCAACCTCGCTCTTCAAATTCTTCATCTTAGCCTAATTTCAGGTTTAAACTTGCAACAACAAAAAGCGCCAACGCCTTGTGCATTCTTTGCACTTTTTCTAATTTTCACCATTTGCTGCAATTGCTTTCCCCCCTCAAATGCAGGCTCACTTCCATGAGTTCCTGCGGAGCTCACACACATGATCTCAGTTCACCCTGTGGCAGCATCCTCCCTAAGAACTAGAAAGATCTCGAAACTCACATTAGGGCTTTCATTTCCCCAGCTGCACCAATTAACTCCTCTGAGCTGTTTCAGGATAGGAGGTCAAGGGCGGGGCCACAGACTCCAATTCCCTGGGCTGCTCTGCTGGTCACCTCTGTCACTCTGTCTTTTAGGATGTCCTTGGTTCTTCTCTTCTCCTTAACATTTTACTATCTAGATAGTTTTAAGATTTTTAAATCATGTGTATATGTGCATCTGTACATGGGTCTGTGTAAGAGTGAGTGCAGTGCCTGCGGAGGCCAGCAGGAGGCATCAGATCCCTTGGAACTGGAACTGTAAGTGATTGCTAGCCTGTATAGGTACTAGGAACTAAACTCAGGTCCTCTGCAAGAGCAGTGAGCATTCTTAACAACTGAGCCATCTGCTTTGACAGTTTTGATTGTTATACAATGTCTACCTACTACCTGCATGCTATAGTTCAAATGTGCAGTTCCACTGGCTCATGTTTGAACACTTGGTCCCCGGTAGGCACTGCTGTTTAGGGAGACTGTGGACCTTTAGAAGGACAGCCTAGCTAGACGTGGGTCTCTAGGCAGGGCAGGCTTTGAGGTTCACAGCTCAGCCTGCCTTCTGTCCTGTCTCTACATCCTGGTCCACTGAGAAGTGGGCAAGCAGTTCATGCATGCTCCCACCAGGATAGGGCCACTAAAGCCATGCACCGTCTGCCATCATCTTCTCCCTGCCATGATGGCCTGCAGCCTCTTCTGTTGCCATCTTGTGTTCTCTGTTGTCAACTGCATCATCTTCTGTAAACATTCTTCCTATCCTGTCTCCATCTACACCTTAGATTTAGATCTGCAGACAACACTGGCACTCACTACAGTTCTCTGACAATTTCCTCGATCATCCAGAGTTTATGCCAACTAGGATGTCTCAGAAAGGCCCCGTAGGGCTCGCTAGCAAACTGACATGCTCCACCCCAAAGTTTCTGACTCAGTATGCCTGGGCTGGAGCTGAGAGTAAGGCCTTGAGACCCTGATATGCTGGGGACTAACTCCGAGAACACAGTCCTAGCAGATTCTTCAGGAAGGAATCACCACTACAGTATTCTCCGAGGATTCATTCATTCAAAATCTAGTATACAAAGTCCTGGGTGTCATGATATTTTCATACATAGTTCATTTTTGTTGATCTTCCACCTACATTCCCCTACTTTCCTCCCACTGACTCCCCCCATCTGCCCCGCCATCCCCCCAAGGGTCTCTCTTCTGCTTCCATGCCCCCTCCTTCACCCCCTCCCAACCCTTCCTAAGGCCTCATCCCCCTCTCATGGAGCCCTTTCTAGTCCCATGGCCTCTACTATCACCAAAATACTTATATAAAGATTAAGATTTAAGAGCCACATGAGGGAGAAAGCCTGCACTGTCTTTTGGAGTCTGATATCTTTCACCTAACATAATTTCCAATTTCACAATTTTTCTATGTCATGATTTTATCTTTCTTCAAGTTGCATAAAATTCCATTATTTTGTGTAGCCGTAAATTTCTAGGGTCCCACTTGCCCCCCACCCACCCACAGTCCAGACAAATCTCTCTTACCCGTGGTCCCGCAGCCACTGGGACCCAAGTAAACACACAGATGTTTATATTATTTACAAACTGCATGGCCTATGGCAGGCTTCTTGTTGGCTAGCTCTTATAACTGAACCCATTCCTATTTATCTGTAAGTTGCCATGTAGCCGTGGCTTACCGGCACTTTCACATCTTGCTTCTCCTGGCGGTGCTGGTGTCTCTCTAGACTCTGCCTTTCTCCTTCCTTTCTCTCTCCTTGGATTTCTCTCCTGCCTCTAAGCTGCCTTGACATGGGCCAGAGCAGCTTATTTATTAACCAATGGGAACACCATATATTCACAGCGAACAGAAAGACATCCCCCAGCACTTCCCCTTTTCTATCTAATTAAAAAGGAAGGTTTTAGCTTTAATATGGCAAAATTATATCTAACAAACAGTTATCAAGCAAAAATTACAGTTGCAATATCTCATCTATTTGTATTTGGCAAAATTAAAGAAAATATTTTATCATTTAACCTATATTTCTGAGTGTAAGGTTTCATATCTAATTTATCTTTTATTGTAACCAAGAAAAATTATAACTATCTAGTCTTTTACTACATCAAAGATTCCAGAAGGATATAATACATTGCCTAAGTAAATAGGAAGTGCATTGTATGCAACTTCCAAAAATCTAGAATGACAGAGACAGCTGGCTGCCTGGACAGTCATCCAAAGTTCCTCTATACCACTGAGGCATCCATTTTCAGCCTATAGGCCTAGTCTCTCAGTCAATTTTCCCTGTGTCCTGTAGAATGTCTGGCAGTCTCCTCTGTGAAGCAGGAACTTGAAGGACCATCTTGCCTTGTTTTGGCAGAATTTAGTGGCCATTTTTCCATGGGTCCTGCATGTCCAGTCGATATAACATTTTGTCAAGCAATCCAGGCAAAAACAGTTTCTTACCCAAAGGGCTACCTTTTCCCATAAGGAAAGCAAACTCCATATGGAGTTTCGTCAATGCCCATCATCTTCTCTGAAGTAAATCGGTGCTGCCAGGAGTAGACATGTCTCACTGTCCAGAAAGTCTAAATTTTTAAAACATTTTAAATGCCATATTTTGTAGGTCTTTGAAATGTTTGAAGATTGCCTACCTAATTAAAATATATCTATGTATACCTAGAAAACTTAACATGACTTTCTTTTTTTTTTCAAGACAGGGTTTCTCTGTATAGTTTTGGTGCCTGTCCTGGATCTGTAAACCAGGCTGGTCTTGAACTCACAGAGATCTGCCTGGCTCTGCCTCCCAAGTGCTGGGATTAAAGGTGTGCACCACCACCACCACCACCCAGCTAATCTGTATTCTTAATTGTATAATGCAATTTTAAAAGAGTTGTATAAACACAATACCTTAAATAAGAGTAGAAATATACAGACAATCCCCCAATAAATTCCTATAATCATTAAGCTATTTCTATGGATAGCAATTTAATTGCATTAGTGTTATTTTTTAATCCATTCATCTATTGATGGACATCAGTGCTGGCTGCATTTCCTAATTATTGTGGATACAATATCAATAAACATGGTATGTCCACAGAAGGATTATTAAGTCTTTCAGGACTCTACA